TATATATATATATATATATTTCATTCTATCATTTCGGCACATCTTTTGGAACTTTGTGACAGATGGAATCTAAAGATGATGTACGAGTTTGTGATGCAGATTATAAGTGTGAAATCAGTATTGAGTGAAAGATGGTCGTGTTCGGTTGTGGGTCGGAACTAAAGTGCAATGTGCGATACATTGATTTAAATGATTACCATACTGTCGGGTAGTTAGAATTATTTCATTGAAGCAGGTGCGTGTTTCCGTGAGTGATGGACTGGACCACTTCCGTAAGAGCTGGTCCCTCTCAAAGGCGTAGGCGCATAGCCCTGTCATGAGAGACGGCAGCCCCCAAGCTACTGCCGACATCACCAGGAACCGTTTCCACTCCTTGCCGGCTTTCGGCCGCGTCACTTGCAGCTTCCTGCAAGCAAGCACAGATCGCATGTGTTTTGTTACGAAAGAAACCATATATCCGACCACATTTTAAATACCTGCCTCCGATAGCACGGTTCGGGGCCAGAACTAGCGTCCAAAACTTCGCTATTATTGAGCAGCATTGTTATAATATTATTAAGCAAAATTAAATTTAATTGAGCAACAAATATTATGCAAAAAATAAGGCTGTTCTCGAGAGTATGTTTAGATATATTTTAATAACTGACTTTCTTCACTCAAAATTACATGTAGATTACTCATATATTCAATAAAAAAATAGTTCACGACATTGTTTAAATATCTAATTCGTAAGACATTTCTTACGAATCTTAAAAATCTATATTCATTTTTGTAATTTATGGAGGGGGAAGAATGCGAGAAACATTTTTAACTTTTGAATTTTTCGAACATGTTAATATCTCGAGAAATCAAATAAAAATCCGATCTCCCCATTTTCCTTCTTCAAGCAAACACCTGCCGAGTTCAACTCTGAGCAAGCTTGGCTGCTGAGTCTGCAGGGGCTCTGACCGAGAGGTCCTTGAGTTCGGGCCCCAACGGTGTCGGATTTTCGACACTAACTAAATAGCTGGGCGAATTCGACCGCTGTCTGCAGGAAAATTCTAGCGGCCCGCGGTTTACTTTGATCTGTCATTTTCCGTGTTTTCTCCGATCTATACCAGCCGAATGCCGGATCAGTCTCCTAACAAACGGGTCACGAGCCACACGCCATTATTCCGTCCTCTTCTCTATTCGCACAGGCATGTGCACCGTCACGTGTGGGGTGCTGAGAGCTCGTTCCGGCTAGAGCGATGCCTTGATGATGAGAAATCCCGTGAGCTGTCGTGTAAGCCGGTGCCGGATCTCACATCTGGCTAGAGAAGAGCAGCGGCACCTCCCGCGAAATAAGCCGCCGTTTAGCCGCCACCACACATTCGTTATTCGGCGAGTAGCGAGCAACCGCTCGCTGAGTCCCAAGTTGTGTGGATCAGCTTGCTATTTGCCGAGTTACGAACATGTGGTGCTCGCCCTACCCACCACGTATCGGCCTTTTGTACACATCAAAGGAAACGAACATTCGCGGAACACATCAGATGTTCGGGATTTGGCGAGCAGTAGCTCGCTGCTCGGCGAGTACATGGGGCCGTCTTTACATAAACGCAGGCCTGCACAGCATTTTGCACTTTCGCTGACCTCGGAAACCGCGCGCAAGCCAATCAAGTACAAATGCGGGCAGCTAGGAAGGGTGGGAGATGAGACTCATTCTAGGATTGGGAACCACCAATGAGAATGCGCAATTCGAACCGGAGCATTATGTTTCCAATACAAAATCAGCTGACACTATTTAATCGTTGACATCGTATAAAAAATTAAGCTCTTTGCGACCTATTTAACAAGACTCATAATAAGATTATGATTGGTCGTAACTTATCGTCAGAGACGTTTGGTCGTTAGTATTGTTTAAATTCAATGGACCCACGACTTCAGCCATCGATCGGGGAAAATCTACATATTTTTTTGAAAATCGTTTGTAGGGATTAGGTATTACTCGGGCAACTTTTCTTGAACGATGACCTTGCTTCCCCCTCTCTGGCACAATAAACAGTTGAAGGCAAAAGCTCGCAGCGAGTACTGATGACAACATTCCAAACACATCTTCAATGGCGCAAAATAGAAACTATTTTTTGTTGAAGACGCGACCTTCTGTCCGTGATTTTCTCCACAAAAATGTAAATAAACGACCGAACCAGATGAATATCCATGAAAGGAAATATATCGAACTCGTAAGAAAGGTAGAACGCAAATTATTGAGAACGTTGCAAAGGCATGAGTAATTCTTTAGAGATTGGCATTTCTTCATAAAATATATTGGGCGAATTCGTAACTAATACCCCCACTCTACCCCCACTAACCCCACAATTCACCGTTCCAGAAAAGTTGCCCGAATAATACTAGCGTGCCAAGAGGCAAAGTTATGATTATGGATGCTTGTGGCTTACCCAAAGCCAAGACTCATGTTCACACACAACGCCGTAAGCCAGCAGACTGCGGCGGTCAGCAGGAAATACATCGGCAATGCTGCGAAGAGAAAAAAAATTATTTTGGCCAAAACAGTAAAATGTTTAGGACATAAGTTAGTAATGAATTACAAACTGAGATTTACAAAACTATATATTTAATAGTTTTAATAGTTTATAACTATTTTTTAGAAATACCAATAATAGTTTCTGCTATATTTTATTCAATTTCGCTCAATTACATCATCCTACAAACATAATTAAATAATTTGTTCAATGGCCAGGCGTGGTATTTGTGCCTGGTCATCGATAGATTTGTCAAGCGATCTGACAACTCTTGGGGAGGGGGGTCGCGATATTGTACGGTGTTCTTAATGTTCAAAATCACATTCATTTTTTTGATATTATTCACATTTATCAATAAATATTCTGGGCTGCCTTAAGGCAACACTGAAATTGCACTAAAATATTTGATTTAGCGGCATTTCTTGTCTTACGAAGGATAAATATTAGTTTTCTTGAGACTTGGTGAGTTATAGAAAAACTAATGATACATATTTTTGTAAGAAGCCGATATTTCGGCCCTTTATTGGGCCTTCATCATTGCTGGATTTTTTGTACAAACATTTTTCACAGGTTTGTTGCCTTCTCCATACCCAGTTCATAACCTTAACCTAATAATGCACAATCTCATATACTAATACTATACCTAATTCTTATTCCTAATTCTTAAGAAACTCTCACTTCCTTCTGTGAATTAGCAAAACACTCTCTTGATCATAACCTCACATTTGTCTTTGAACAGGCCAAGATCCTGGAAGAAAAATCCCTCAAAAATATATTGACCAAAGAGATGCTGTATATAAATAAGAAATGAAACAAAGCCTGCAACCATAAAACGGATACTGATAGTCTCAGTTTCGTATACAATTACATTAAAAGCAGGATTGGAAAATAAAATAGAAAAATCTAAAAATGTAATTATTATAAATATTTACAATAATTACTTAAATATATAAAGATGTAATTAATGTATATGTAGCTGTGCGATTAGGTAGACTATTTTACATTTATCTGCCGGTGTCGTAATGAACCTATTCTAAGCAAGAATGTATTCAAATTAAACTAATCCCAGATGTTTAACGACATATTATCACTAATTTTTCACTCCGCTGTAATAAATTTATTTACCTTTTTGTTGTCATCGATAGCATTTGTCTTATGTCCTTAATAGCTTGAGTAATATATTAATATAATAATATTAGAAAGAGTTGTTTGTGTAAAGTTCCAAACTCTGAAATAGAATCTATTATTAAAGATTCGGTGCTGAAAAACAGCGAAAGAAACAATGTGCGAGGAAGCAATTTCAAGAATTATGTGAAGAAAGAAAATACAAATTGACAGTACAAACTACAAATGAAGAACATGTTTCTCTCACCCCGCGGGGAGCCCGCCCATGATTGGCCGGTACACTCTCTCCTCATTGGCCGACCACCCGGCCAACCGGCACACGGGTAGAGGGGGAACTTAGCCCAATTCTAACTCGTGCGCAGCACATCTCCGCGCATTACGCCCTGAGGAAGGTCGCAGAATGACACCGAAATGTCGGCACCCTTGCAATGGCCGCGTCATTACCCGGACAGCCAATTAAATACAAGTGTATGATGCCAGCCATTGGTAGTCGAAGTCGCTTTCTGGGAGTAATGGCGGCAACATTTGCCGAAGCTCAAACCTTTCGATCCAAGAGCCCGCGACTCGCGCCAGCTGGCGTCAGACAACTCACTGGGAGCGGTTGCTTCGTGAAATTTATTCATCACGAACGCTTGAGTGCATTGCGGCCACTACTTGTTTGCAGACGTGCGCCTTTTTCACCTTCCGTTGCCGCCTTATTGGCCCGGGACCAACGGAGACTCCCGAAGGCTACGTACTTTCAACGCAAGAGCTACGAGTATATACAAAATGTCTAATACTTGAAGAATCCACTGCCAGGGCAAATTCCTTCCACATCTTGGTAATACCATGTTCAGGCAGTTCAGAGAGTGTTTGAGCACTGTCCGCTATTGGCGAGTAAAAACTTTGTTAATTTACAGTTTCCCAACCATGATCTCACGCTGGCGTGTTCAGTTCGCAGTCAGTTCGAAAAAAATCAAAGTTGGTTATTCCCAAACACCCGGCGCTTTGCCACCGAACTCTTAGTTGTCGCTGTCAGGGATAAAATCAGAGAAGCGGCAACGTATGATCAGAATTCTCATTCTGGCAGTAGTTAGCCTAAGTTGTGTCATAGTTTCCCTTGGAGACAGTAAGAAATCGCCCCTGGTAACCACATAAACTTTCGTACGGTTGCTTTTGGATTCCTTACCTAGATTTTGCACGTGTTCAATGAGGTACTCGTGGCACGACCCGAAGGAGTCTATCTCGTTCGCTGAAGAGTCATGTAGTAGGCCCACTGCCCCAGGTTGAAGCCAGCAAGCAGGCGGCGTGAACAGGCCAGGCACAGCCGTGGCGCCTTCTCGTAGCGCTGCCACTGTTGCACGCGACGGCGGCGAGGCGCCGTCGCAGCCAGCGCACGGAGACGAAAGCCATAGGGGCGCGCAGCAGCCAGTAAAGCGCCCGGTGATGCGCGAATACTCGCAAGTAGAACGAGCGTCTCGCCGAGGGCGTGTTGTCGGCCAGCTGCGCAGTCCACGCACGTGTCCCACGACGAGAAGAGGAAGTGGTGGATGCGGCGCTGCAGCAACTGGGGCACCCACGGGTCCTCGGGCGACAGGCGATAGCGTTGCACAGGGACAACTGGCCATTCAAAACATCGCGAGCCACTGTGGACAGAACCGTATTAAACGGTGAATGATTCCGAGAACCGATGAGCCACCAGAGAACTGAAAAGCGTCTATAATGACATGTGTTAAGAAATGCTGCATACATAAAAAACACTAATTTACAGGTTCATAAATTTATCTATAATTTTTGTAACGTAACGGGTAGAATTCTATTCAAGAAAATGAGGGACTTTATGTTGAAAAATTACCTCAATCCATCTGCAGATTTTGCGGTAGAAGAGACTTGTGCTCGTAAAGGATTTTCCAATCGTATAATACCTTCAAGACAATACTAATTGGGAAATAAGAGAAGTATTTCACCTTAATATCACGACTTACAAGTCCATTTTTTTACGAACTATAGCCAGTATCTTCCAAACGACCTCGCCTCCATAGGAACTCACTACATACCTCAACTGTTCTACCTCTTACGATCTTATATGAAGTTCTACATTTCTGAGCACAACTTCAACCCGCTTGGTCCCACAAGCCCTGTCTGCCTCGCTCTGTTCAGAAAAAAATTCCGAACATAAGATTAGTTACTTGTTACGGGTGCTGAGTTCTCATTTATCCCTGCACAAAACTGACACTCTCCGAGCGTGCAGAATTCATTACAAACGGAATAGAACACCTGACTCTTTTGTTTGTACATTTGAGTTACGAATATTTACTTTATATTTTGTTTTTACCTCTTCTTTAAAACTGGCGGTTTCCCAAGCGTGCATAGTCCACTTTAAAAAGAGAATAATTTAGCAATAATATTCGAATGTACCTTTTAGTTACGACTTCTGGTTTCCCTGCATACTGTAGATACACGAAATTTCCCCCTGTTCATTGGCAATAAGAGATCATCCACAAGCCACTACATGCCTTAGAAGTTGGTAACATTTATTCCGTGATTCTGTAGTGCTTTTTTTAACAAGAAAACAGCTGACATCTTCCAAAATACCTTGTAGCTACAGCACATAGTGAGACTCGCGATTCCTGTCTTATTCCAAATTTTACTGACATATTTTAGAAAAATCAAGCCAATGGTTTTCTCTTGCCCCAGGCCTACTCAGTATGTCTACTATTTCCCAATTTATCATTACTTTCATTAAATTTTCAGAGTGGAATCTCTCATGGGACGAACATCTTATGGGGAAAAATTTATGATACGTGAGTCGACAGACTTACCCATACTGGATTTCACATTACGAAAATTTACGTAGGATTATTCTTACCAATTTTTAATTACTTGAATAAAACGCGTTCATTGTTCCAAATTATTGTAATTTTGCTTTTACAATTATACATTACCTAATTTCGTAGTTTCAAAGAAACTTTCGAAGCAACTTACGTAACAACTATGACAATACAATAAATGCTTACTTTCGTACTTTATTTACAACACATTCACGCAATTCACCATTCGCCCGATATCTATTACATTTTCATGGCCATGCTACCTGCGTTCTCTTACGAATATTTCTCACATCTAAATTTATCACAATTTCGTCTTCTTACAGGAATTATTTTATGTTTACACGCTTTTTGGTTGCCCACTGCGTTCTTGGCTGATGAAATACGTGTTAATAGCCTTTCCATGTCTATAAACTCTACGCCATCTTGGTGCTTCAGCCGAATTCCAAGTTATAAATTGCATCCAACGTTATGAAACTACCGTCTTTAAATATCCATTGCCCAAACTAATTAATTGTTCGCGTGCTTACACTTTTCAATCCTCTTTTCACTACCTAATTCCACAACAACAAAAACGAATTATTGCGCAATAAAACTGCTCTACTGACTCAACGTTCGTAGCCCACCATGACTGACCACTTCCTCCCAGCAAACCATATTGCCCGCCTTCCAACTGTCTCCTCCTGACCAATATATCATTAATTGCGTCCCTCTTTGCACATTATCTTCAACTGTCGAGCACATACGCTTCTTCCCATTGGCTATTACTACGTAAACTTATTATATTGTATATTCTTGGATTCTATACCATTTTTATTATTATTATTATTATTATTATTATTATTATTATTATTATTATTATTATTATTATTATGCATCTTTAAGCATGTAAATTGCTCACGTTACCCAATACAGAACTCCCACACTTTATTTTTCACTGGTTCTAACGTCGACCACTTTCCACTCTCGCCCCTGTTATTTATATTTTATTGCACGTGTCCATATTGACTTCTTTTGTTCATTTACCCGTAATCATATTTACTTTTGTGATGGTCACTATATAAGCCGGAATAAACCATCACGATTCTTCGGTACAGTAAAATTGGCTCCTTGTGAGTTCGCATAGACGTCTTTTCAGAACAATCAAGCTGGCCTCTTGATCAGTACCGACAAAAATATAAATGCATTTCACTTAGATTTAGATTTTAGATTTATTCAGTCAAAAAAACAGTAAAAACTGTATGTGAAATAGGGGGAAAAAGATTATTTGCGAACGTTTTCTTGAGTTCCAGAATCCCTTCCCGTCATTTTAAATATAAATAATTGAAACTTGAGTAAAAAGTTAAACATAAATAAATTTAAAAATAAATTTTAAAAATCGCAAGATTAGCAATATTTGAAAAATAGTCATTTTCGTTTAAAAATAAATGCTCCGTATAAACGAATAAATCATATGATGTGCTAAATTCCAAGGTGCGAAAAATTACAAAAAATAAATAAACACAACTCCTGATGCACAAGAAAAGAAAATGATAGATTTCTGCAGAGAAGCATGAAATACGTATATTTCGCAGTTATTATCTACACGGCTGAAGATACAAACCTTCCCTACACCTATATACAAACTTTATTACTGCACAGATTGAATGTTATTTTACCATACAAACTTGGCACATTCCCTTTAGAAAACATTTATGATTGCTCTCGAGCTGTGGTACAACATGACATTCACGATAAAATAACAAAAACTGCATTCTTTTGAAGTTGTCATTCTAGAAACATTTAATTCCACTTCAAAAATTGCCAACTTCATCACTTACCTTGTTGCAAGGTTCAGTGATATTACGTGTTTATTTGTATTTATATTTATATTAAATTTATATTTATATTTATATTTATATTTATATTTATATTTATATTTATATTTATATTTATATTTATATTTATATTCGTATTTGTATTTAGATGTTCATTAGCAAAAGTAATCATTTTCTACCCGTCGGTTTTACAAAGGCTAGACGTTTGTAACTTTATGAGACATATCGCTGAAGTTCCTTACAAAGAGAATAAAATACCCGACCTCTTCAGGAGTTGTAGTTATACAGTTCGAATTAATCCCTACCGTCTGGCCCCTTACGCAGACATTCCAAATGAGATGACCTCCTGGTGGGTACCTGTTGTGGAACGGCGTCTCCTTGTCGAAGAAGCGGGCGAAGGAGGAGTTGGCGGGCGACCAGTAGCCTCGGGCGTCCTCGGCGCAGCTCCACCCGCCGCCGGCTTTGGCCGCCGCCACCAACCCGGCCTTGCAGCACTTGGCGTGGCAGTCGTCGACGTTGCACAGGCGCTCCGTGACGAGGGCGAAGGGCGACAGCGGCGGCAGGGCCGCGTCCACGCAGTAGAACGGCGTCTGCTCGTACCTGCAAACCAAACACCGAAATCACTCGAATTACGTCGCTGTCTGTAGGGGAATTCTAGCGGCCGGCTGCTCTGATCGGTAGTTTCGGTAGTCAAACATTTGAACATCGCAGTAGAACGGCTCCGACTCGAAGCTGCAAACCAAAAACCAAAACCACTCGAATTACGTCGCTGACTGGAGCAGAATTCCAACGGACGGTTACTCTAATCGGTAGGTTTCTCTCTACAACACAAGGCGAATGCTGGAGCAGAACCCTAGCAAACGGGCCACGAACTACGCACGCAGTGAAGAGATGAAAAGGTCCCCCAGACCTTAAATCGATTGACCCCCTGTTGAGTTCTTGGTTTCGCCGAGGCCGTGGCCGGATTCTCTGGGCAAAGAGGAGGGACTTGTCCTGGCGCATGTGAGTAGCCCATTATCCTGACTCCAGGACTAGCCTGGATATCGAGGAGCTGAGAGTTGGAAGAGTTACCCCACCCAAGCATTGAATGAGGAGGATTAGGGGAGGGTCAATTGCGTTCTGGTGCCCCCCACCCCAAGGGCCTACTTGTACGCCTATGATATACGTGTGAATTGAGCCTAACGCCGAGGTGCCCTCCTGGAGTAAATTCCCCCTCGTTAAAGCACAGGTGCACTCCAGTCCACTACACTGCGCGCGATCTTACCTTCCTCTTTCATTTCCCATCCTCACCCCGCACGTGCCCTACACGTCCGCACATGCCGGGACACCGATGGGATGCGTAGAGCTGTTCCCGGCTGCGGCGGTGCCCCGTTGGTGGGAGATCCCTCGTTGAAGAAAACTCCCTCAAGCACACGGGTAGAGCCGAGTCTCGCCATCCACAGAGGACGATAAACGTCAAAACCCGCGATGAATACGTGCACTACAATGACGGGACGTTGCAGTTGACGCGCCCGGAATGACTAATCAATCAGTCGGTCAGAAGCACGTCACATACCATCGGCATCGGTGGCTCAGGGCATCGAGAGTCGCCACCGGCGTGCCTATGGAAGAGACGTCCTAGGGTTCCGGTGCTGATTGTGGCATGCTGGTGAAAGTTAGGGAAAATGCTTGAAATCCGATGTATTCTGGGTCATGCCAGCGAGGGGTGGAAATATCACAGCCACCTCGCGCAATGAAAATGTGCCCACTATTTGCGGAAGTAAGGTCCACAACAGATGACACTCCAGGAATCACTAATCATTCACACCGATACATACCGCCACGATTCGACCTGTCGACTGGTCCAGGATGCGGTTAACGTTCCCGGAATCACTAATCAATCAATCACATCGTCACATGCCGCCACGATTCGATCAGCTGCGAGTCCTGGATGCGGTTAACGTCCCCGGAACTACTAATCCATCAAGCCGTCACATAGCGTTACGTTTCGACTTGCGACATGAGGTTGCGGCCCCCGGAAGCACTAATCAATCAATCAAACCGACACATATCGCCACGATTCGACCTGTGAA